TTCAGATTCGTTTAAATTCATTACTATTTGTGACTGGAGTCACTTTGGGTGGGGGGCCCATGGGAAACCAGCTTTGGAGAGGTGGGGAGACCCCTGTGTCAGCTCCCCATATGCCTATTATGTGTAAGTCACCCTGTGCCTGTTAGGGGTACAGGGTAATCTGTCCTAATATTGTGTAGACATGTCTAGGAGATAGATGGGGTGGGGGTTGTGGATTGTTTGGTGTTATGTGGTTGCATCCCATTGTTATATTGTGTGTCTTGTTTGGGAGCAAACTATTATTATACAGTATTTATATAGCGCCAACAGTTTGCTCAGCGCTGTACATTACAATGGGGGACAATACATGAGACAGTACAATAACAATACAGTGCGAAACACGAGGGGTTCGAGGGCCCTGCTCCTTGGAGCTTACAATCTAGAAGGGAGGGGATAGTGGTACGGGAGGAAAAGCTGTAGGGGATGGAGTGGTAGGAAGAGTGGAGGAGATCGGCAGTTAGCAGAGGGTGGGGTAGGCTTCCCTGAAGAGGTGGGTTTTGCCTAAAGGAGAGGAGAGTGGGTGATAGTCTGATGGATTGGGGTAGGGAATTCCAGAGGATGGGTGATGCCCTGGAGAAGTCCTGGAGGCGGGCATGGGAGGAGGAGATCGGGGAACTAGAGAGGAGGTCTTGTGATGAGCGGAGAGTGCGTTTTGGGTGGTATTTGGATATTAGGTCGGTGATGTCGTTTGGGGCAGAATTATGGACAGCTTTGTACGTCAGTGTTAGCAGTTTGAATTTGATACGTTGGGCAATCGGAAGCCAGTGGAGGGATTGGCAGAGGGGGGTGGCGGACACGGAGCGGTTGGTAAGGTGGATGAGGATCGGGATCTGAAGTGGGGACAGCCTGCGGTGAGGCAGGCCAGTGAGGAGGGAGTTGCAGTAATCGAGTCATGATATGATGAGGGAGTGGATGAGCTGCTTAGTAGTTTCAGGGGTTAGGAATGGGCGTATTTTGGCGATTTTGCGGAGGTGGAGTACTGCATGAGTTTGTTAGCGATTAGACTTGGGGCTGGAAGGATAGATTGGAGTCTAGTATGACGCCAAGTACTCTGGCTTGCGGGGTGGGCTTGATGGTGGCATGGTTGGACGTGATGGAGAAGTCAGTGTGGGGGGGGTGCGCAGGCTGGGGGGAAGATTAGGAGCTCGGTTTTGGAGAGGTTCAGTTTAAGGAAGTGGAGCGACATTCAATCTGATATGTCATTCAGTAGGCTGGTGATTCGGGCAGTGACTGAAGGGGTGAGGTGAGGGGTCCAGAGATAGATTTGCGTGTCGTCGGGATAGAGGTGGTAGTTGAAGCCATGAGAGTGTATCAGTTGGCCAAGGGAAAAGGTGTAGCTAGAGAAGAGAAGGGGCCCGAGGACAGAGCCTTGAGGGACCTCAACAGAAAGGGGGAGTGGGGGGGAGGTGGTAGTGCTATAGGTAATGCTGAAGGAGCGTTGTGATAGGTAGGAAGAGAGCCAGGATAGAGTGGAGTCTCTGAGGCCAAGGGAGTGTAGTTTCTTGAGGAGGAGAGGGTGGTTGACTGTGTCGAACGCCGCAGAGAGGTCAAGGAGTAGGAGCACTGAATAGTGGCCATTGGCTTTGGCGGTTAGCAGGTCGTTTGTGAGTTTGAGTAAGGCGGTTTCGGTGGAGTGTAGGGGACGGAAGCCGGACTGTAGGGGGTCAAGGAGGTTGTTGTCATTGAGGTGAGAGCGTAGGCGAGTATAGACTAAGCGCTCAAGGAGTTTGGATGTAAATGGCAGCAGGGAGTTGGGTCTAAGGTTGTTCGGGTCAGTGGGGTCCAGGGAGGGCTTTTTAAGTATGGGAGTGATGTGTGCGTGGTTCAGAGGGGAGGGGAATGTGCCAGAAGAGAGGGAGAGATTAAAGATGTGGGTGAGTGAGCGTAGGATGGAGGAGGAGGAGATTGTAGGCGTTGTGAGGGGACAGGGTCGAGGGGGCAGGTGGTGAGGCGGGCTTCAGAGAAGACCTTAGTAACCTCCTCAGTGGTGGTAAGGTCGAAGGAGTGGGGTGTTGAGGGGGCTTCTGTGTGAGGGATGTTAGATGGGGTTAGATCAGCGGTTCTCAACCTTTGGGGGTCGAACGACCATTTCCCAGGGGTCGCCTAAGACCATCGGAAAACACATATTTCCGATGGTCTTAGGAACCGAGACACCGCTCCTCCGTCTCAGGCGATGTGTGGGCGGGATGATATGCTGCTCCTGTCACCTGGCCACACCTCCGGGATCGCTCAGCAGCTCCGCCTCCTCGCCGCTGATTGGCCACCGGAACTGTAGCTCAGGAGAGGCACACAGGCGGCCAATCACCGGCGAGGAGGTGGAGCTTGGAGAGGAGGAGCCGAGCGGCAGCGTGCGTACATCAAAGAAGATCGAGGGAGCTGCCGGAGCGAGTGAAGAGGAGAGCGGCCAGAGAAGGAAGACAGCTGACAGGTAAGTGAGAGAGCGAGCCCAGGCTGGAGCAGGGGTCAGCAAAGTAAGTATCATTGGTGTCAGTGGGAGGAATAGTGCCCCATCATTTGTGTCACTAATACCAACGATGGGGCACTATTCCTCCCCCCACTGACACCAACGATGGGGCACTATTCCTCCCCCCACTGACACCAACGATGGGGCACTATTCCTCCCCCCACTGACACCAACGATGGGGCACTATTCCTCCCCCCACTGACACCAACGATGGGGCACTATTTCCCCCCATAAAATTCAGAGCCTCATAAATTGTTCTACAGTGAGAGTATTATACATCTTAACCTGTCCCTGTAAAAAGATGTATGTTGGTAAGACCAAAAGACAACTTAAAGTACGAATAGGTGAACATCTTAGAGATATTAGATTAAATGACCCTGATAGTAATCTTGCCCAACATTACGTTAAATATCATGGAGGTAAACTGGACGGTACAAAAGTAAAAGGTTTCTATGCACTGCACTTTCCACAAAGGAGAGGTGATTTTGACAGAGAATTGCTTAAAAAGGAAAAATACTGGATATATAAACTTGATACATTGTACCCTAAGGGGTTAAATGTGGAATGTGATCTCCAAGTATTTCTGGAAAAATAGTTTTATATAGCTATGTACCTTTTTATTGCCATATGGTGGCTAATTCATGGCATTTTTTTGTTTTTGTTTTCACAAATAGCTGGACTTTATGTCAAATAATCCCAAAAAAAGCCTGTGTGTATTTGGAAATAATAACAACAATATGGATGATCTTATGCTATGAGTTTAAATATAGCTCTAAAAAAAATGTAAAAGGATTGATTGTTGAGTTAATTTTTCCTCTGTACCTCCTTTCTTTAATAATAACCACACCATAGGATGGATATTTGAAAATTGGGGTATTTTCGTTGAAATAACCCTTAATGAGAATTCTCAGGTTATATTGCCATCTTGTGGTGTTTCATGGTAATTTACATTGTCTTCTAAGAAACTTGACTCAGTAAATAGACTTGTTGACTCTCTGATTAATATCGCCATCTTCTGGTTAGAATGTGATAAATGCTTCAATTGACTAGTATATTTAATTCATGACCCCTTGATCAATATATGCATTGTTAAAATTGCTAAGCCTCTCCCCTCTCTGATGTCTCCAGTCGTCTGTCTTTTTAATTATATTCAATAATGACCGGCAGCTGTGCTAAGTATTTAGCCCCCTTTTTTCTTCCATTAGGAATAACTGCAGGCTGGTTTTTTGCATAAATGGGTGGGTCTTTACCCACTATAAAATAGGAAATTGAAATGCAGTTGTTTCATTGGTCCTGACGAAGCTGAGTGAGATACGCCCCCATCGGCGAAACGCGTTGACGTCATAACGTCAGATACGTCACTTCCGGTCATGCGCACTAGGTGAAACGCACGCTGACCCATAAGGAGGAAGCCATCTTCACATGCCATGAGGCAAGCTTAAGCAGCACAAGCGCCAAGAAGGGGCTGGAACCCGCGGTATATCGGCGGATGTCAGCGGTGATTCCTTGGCCTCTTTAGCCCTGTATGGCAGTATCTATGAAGGACTTCTCTTTCATTCCTATTATCCACAGCACAGGTGGTGAGTGGATTGTTACAGGACATTAGCTATATGGTCCTCTGTGATCTATATGACCTATATATCCTATATAGAGTGTAAGCTCTGTCAGTGACTTCCCACATATTGTTTGTTTCACTACAGGATGGGGACATCATGGTGCTTTATTCCTATAGGAAACAAGATATACCATATATATTTCAACAGGCAGAAGATCTATTGGGATGTGTCTTGTTGTTCCTACGAAAAGTGGTGTGTAGTCCACATATAGTGGTGAAGAAATCATTTCAAGCAGAGTGCTGCTTTGTGCATCTTTTCTTCCATCCTGGAATTAATGGGGCATATTCTCATTCAAGAGCTCTAGGAAACAGCTGTTTATATTACAGATGAATGGGCCCAACCACTTGTGCCGGCACAGGAATGTACTGCATTATATATTTTTGACATTTATGTCTTCCTTCATACAGGCCTGTGGCTTGATGTTCTCTTTTTGACGCATATTGTGCTTGCTGCATTGCATACATGTGATATTCATATCCATAGTATAATTTTTGGATTCCCTGATTGGGATTTACCATCATGGTAATAGCTTAATCAATTATATCTCATATTATGGTATGCCTATGGTATAATTTTTGGATACACCTTCTTTGGGAAGTGTTCACCTATGTGTCTGTGCTACAGGGACATTAGACTCTTGTAGTCATTTTTTTTCTGCTGCACATGCATTCAGACCGGTTTTGGTGTCATTTTATATGGTTTTAGGTCTGTGTGTATTGTCTCATACTGAGGTGATGGTAAACCAGGGCGAATGCCCATATGTCATATTTATATATGTGTAATAAAGCATAATTTTTGGAAATTTTTCTGAGTGTCACGTTCGGTTCACTATGTAGCCGCTTTTCTGTGAATCTCTTTTCACAAATCCCCCTTTTTTTGTACACTATTTCCCCCCCCCTGACCCCAACGATGGGGCACTATTCTCCCCTCCACCACACTGACACCAATGATGGGGCACTATTCCTCCCACTGACACCAGTGATGGGGCACTATTCCTCCCACTGACACCAGTGATGGGGCACTATTCCTCCCACTGACACCAGTGATGGGGCACTATTCCTCCAACTGACACCAATGATGGGGCACTACTCCCCCCCCACTGACACCAATGATGGGGCACTACTCCCCCCACTGACACCAATGATGGGCACTACTCCCCCCACTGACACCAATGATGGGGCACTACTCCCACTGACACCAGTGATGGGGCACTACTCCCACTGACACCAGTGACGGGGCACTATTCCTCCCACTGACACCAATGACGGGGCACTACTCCCCCCACTGACACCAATGATGGGGCACTACTCCCCCCACTGACACCAATGATGGGGCACTACTCCCACTGACACCAGTGATGGGGCACTACTCCCACTGACACCAGTGATGGGGCACTACTCCCCCCACTGACACCAGTGATGGGGCACTACTCCCCCCACTGACACCAGTGATGGGGCACTATTCCTCCCACTGACACCAGTGATGGGGCACTATTCCTCCCACTGACACCAATGATGGGGCACTACTCCCCCCACTGACACCAATGATGGGGCACTACTCCCCCCACTGACACCAATGATGGGGCACTATTCCTCCCACTGACACCAGTGATGGAGCACTACTCCTCCCACTGACACCAGTGATGGGGCACTACTCCCCCCACTGACACCAGTGATGGGGCACTATTCCTCCCACTGACACCAGTGATGGGGCACTATTCCTCCCACTGACACCAATGATGGGGCACTACTCCCCCCACTGACACCAATGATGGGGCACTACTCCCCCCACTGACACCAGTGATGGGGCACTATTCCTCCCACTGACACCAGTGATGGAGCACTACTCCTCCCACTGACACCAGTGATGGGGCACTACTCCCCCCACTGACACCAGTGATGGGGCACTATTCCTCCCACTGACACCAGTGATGGAGCACTACTCCTCCCACTGACACCAGTGATGGGGCACTACTCCCCCCACTGACACCAGTGATGGGGCACTATTCCTCCCACTGACACCAATGATGGGGCACTACTCCTCCCACTGACACCAATGATGGGGCACTACTCCTCCCACTGACACCAACGATGGGGCACTACTCCTCCCACTGACACCAACGATGGGGCACTATTTCTCCCACTGACACCAACGATGGGGCACTATTCCTCCCACTGACACCAACGATGGGGCACTATTCTTCCCACTGACACCAACGATGGGGCACTATTCCTCCCACTGACACCAACGATGGGGCACTATTCCTCCCACTGACACCAACGATGGGGCACTATTCCTCCCACTGACACCAACGATGGGGCACTATTCCTCCCACTGACACCAACGATGGGGCACTATTCCTCCCACTGATACCAACGATGGGGCACTATTCCTCCCACTGACACCAACGATGGGACACTATTCATCCCACTGACATCAGTGATGGGGCACTACTCCTCCCACTGCAAAATTACAGTTATGAAGTAGCAACGAAAATAATTTTACGGTTGGGGGTCACCACAACATGAGGAACTGTATTAAGGGGTCGCGGCATTAGAAAGGTTGAGAACCACTGGGTTAGATGGATGTTAGATGGGGTGGAAGTCTGAACAGTGGGGAGGCCAAGGGGAAGAGGTGTTGAGGGGGTTGCTGTGTGAGAGGAGGTAGGTGGGGTGGAGGTCTGAGCAGCAGCGATTTCCCTGCGAATAGTGTCAGTCTTGTTTTTGAAGTGATTGGCAATCTCGAGGGCGATGAGTGAGGTACTGGGTGGAGGTGGGGGTGGAGAGAGTAGAGAGTTGAAAGTGGAGAAGAGCCAGCGAGGATTGGAGGAGAGGGTATTGATGAGGGTCAGAAAGTAGGCTTGTTTGGCAGTGTGGAGGGAGGAGGTGTAGGTGTGGAAGGCAGATTTATAGTGGGTGAACGCTAGTTCGGATCTGGTTTTGCGCCATAGTTGCTCCAGCGCACGACTGCGTCGTTTGAGAGTTTTGGTATGATCAGTCTGCCAGGGCTGGGGCGGTCGGGGTCTGATGCTTCATGTGTTTAAAGGCGCTAGCGAGTCTAGAGCTGATGACAACGAGTTTTTATAAGCAGTCGTGGCCAGGTCGGGGCAGGACAGGGGAAGGATGCTGTCGTAAAGTTGATCAGCAGAGTGGAAGGGGGCAGGGTTCAGGTTGCGGAGGTTTCGACTGGTAATAGTTTGACATTTGGAGGGGTAGGCGTTTGGGGATGAGGAGACAGAGAAGGTGATAAGGTTGTGGTCAGAGAGAGGGAAGGGGTGTTTGTGAGGTTGTGGGGGGTGCAGAGATGGGAGAAGACGAGGTCCAGGATGTTCCCGTCGGAGTGGGTGGTGAATTGTATGCACTGAGCGAGTGCAAAAGAGGAAGTTAAGTGGAGGAATTGAAATGTAGCCCAGTTATTATTGTTATATTATATTTATGTTGACAGGGATGTTGAAGTCTCCAAGGATGATGGTGGGTAGCTCGGAAGAGAGAAAGAAGGGTAGCCAGGCGGAAAAGTCATAGAAGAAGCAGGATACGGGTCCAGGAGGCCGGTAGATCACAGCAATCCTCGGGGGGTTGGAGAGAAGAAAAGTCAGATGCAGTGGGCCTCAAAGGAGGAGAAGGATAGAGAGGGGGGGTCTGTGGGTCCAGATAAGACCTCCATAGGAGAGTGCTGCAGGGAAGGTGGAGTCAGTGGCTTGGATCCAGGTTTCCATGATCGCTAGGTTGAGGGAGCGGGAAACAAAGAGGTTGTGGATGGCGGTGAGCTTGTTGCAAACCAATCGGGCGTTCAGAAGTGCACAAGAAAACGGGGGGGTGTGGTTTTGGGGAGCAGAGGGACAGGTGCTAGGTTGAGGGGGTTGAGGCAGGACGTGGAAGTGGGAGGGTGCCTTGTCGGTGGGCGAGGTGGTGGAGGGCCAGGGTTCGGGGAGATGTCCTCGGCGGAAAGGAGAAGGAGAAGGGTGAGAAAGGTGGCATGGGAGCGGAATGTGCAGGAGCGTGTAAGTCTACCAGTGGAGGTGTTCGGGTCAGTGGGAGAGTGGAGCATTAGGGAGGAGGTGGTGGGTGCCATAGAGGGGGGAAGGTTGCGGTGAGGTTTGGTTTGCAGAGATGAAGGGTGTATGGGATGTATGTGTTTATCTGTATTAGCTTAGTGGGAGGGGGTGTCTCCAGCAGCCCTCCCTCCTGATGGGACTGTCTGCTGGTGGTGTGAAGTTTGAATACCTGTGTGTCTCTTGTTACTAAATATAGATTGCCCCGCCCTGTGTCATTTATGCAGGGAGGGGGGATTGCCCCACAGAGTAAAAGAAAGAAAAGGAGAGAAACAGGAGACAGAAAGAAAGAAAGAAAAAAAAAAGAAAGGAGAGAAACAGGAGACAGAAAGAGAACTAGAAAGAAAGAAAGAAAGAAAGAAAGAAAGAAAGAAAGAAAGGAGAGAAACAGGAGACAGCGAGAGAGAGAGAGAGAAATAAAAAAGAAAGGAAGAAAAAAATTAGAGAAGCGGGAGACAGAGTGAAAGAAAGAAAGGAGAGAGAAAGAAAGAAGAGAAACAGGAGACAGAAAGAGAGTAAGAAAGAAAGAAAGAGTAAAAAAGAAAGAAAGGAAGGAGAGAAATAGAGAACTATAAAAAAGGAAGAAAGAAAAAATAAAGAAGAAAAAAAATTAGAGAAAAGGGAGACAGAGAGAAAGAAAAAAAAAATGAGAAAAAAACGGGAGAAAGAAAGAAAGAGAAGAAAAAAATTTGAGAAAAAGGGAGAAAGAAAAAGAAAGAAAGAAAGAAAGAAAGAAAGAAAGAAAGAAAGAAAGGAAAGAGGGACGTAAAGAAAGAAAGAAAATAGAGAGAAACGTGAGACAGAATGAGGGGAAGAAAAAAAAGAAAGAGAGAAAGAAAGGAGAGAAACAGGAGAGAGAGAGAGAGAGAGAGAGAGAGAGAGAGAGAGAGAAGGAGAGAGACAGGAGACACAGAGAGAGGAAGAAAGAAAGAGAGAGAAAAAGAAAGAGGGAAAGAAGGATAGAGAAACAGGAGGCGGCAAGAGAGAGAAAAATTAGAGAACTAGATAAAAGAAAGAAAGAGAAAAAGAAAAAAAATTAGAGAAACAGGAGACAGAGAGAGAGGAAGTAAAGAAAGAATGAAAGGAGAGAGAAAGATATTTTCCTGGTCTATCTCCCCATCTATATCTTTCACCAATGATCTTATTAAAAGTTCTCATTTTTTCTTCCTCCATTACTTTCTCTAGTTCTTCCCTCTTTTTTATCATTCTTTGCTCTATCTCTTTCCTTATGTTATTTTTATGTAGGAGTTCCATCTCAGCTATTTCCTTCAAAAGCCCACTAATCTTCTCTCGTCTTTCCCTTTTTTCTTTGCCCCAATCGCAATAAGGATTCCTCTTACATATGCTTTATGTGCCTCCCACATTGTAGCTAGTGATACATCCCCTGTTTCATTTTCCTCAAAGAACCTCTCTATCTCCTCCCTGATCTTCCGGTCAGTATCTGGATCCATGAGGAGTGTCTCATTCAACCTCCATGATAGGCCTCCTGACAATTTCCCTCCCCATCTTAATTCCATTACTACAGGTGCATGGTCCTAGATAGTTATTGCTTCTATTTCTACTTTAACCAAATCCTCAACGAGTCGATGGTCCAAGGAAAATATAGTCCAATCTAGAGTATGTCCTATGTACACTAGAGAAGAAAGTATAATCTCTATCTCTCATGTTAACAATTCTCCAGCTATCCACCAGTTGGCACTCTTTCATCGCCGTTTTCAATAATCCCAATGGACCTATTTCCCCCTCTCTGTACTCGAGATGTTGTATCTATCTATCTGTGGATCCATACATATGTTAAAGTCTCCCGCCACTATTAGATATCCCTTTCCAAAATCCATCAATCTTCTCATTAACCCCTTTCAAAAACATCTCTGGCTTCCTATTAGGGCAATAAATGTTTACAAGGACGTACATTCTATGTCATGTAATTTTACCCTTCAAAAACAAAAACCTCCCCTCCGGGTCTGTCTTTCTATCTTCCAATTCAAACCTAATGTTTTTTTTTGAAAATCCTATAGGCTAACCCCTTAGCTCTCTTAACTGGGGAATTGGCTGCATAATACCATGTCGGATGATGTCTAGAGTTTAGCTTAATATTTTTTTTTTAACTCTAGATGTGTTTCCTGCAAAAAAGTACAAATCTGAGGCCTCTCTATGTTGTAGTTCTCTGTATAGTCTAAATCTTTTACCCGGGCATTTAATCCATTTACATTATGGGTTACAAAACGTATTTCCTCCATATTTTATTTGTCTTCTTCCTATTTTACCATTTCCTTTCTTCTTCCCCTTCCCTATACCTCTTCTTTCTTTTCATACAAGATGTCAGTTTTAAAACTCCCTATCCCCAGTCCCACCCCACTTCTCTCTCTCCCCTCCCCTCCACCCCCCCTCCATCCCCCTCCCCTCCCTCCCCTCCCCCATTAAATACCCCTCCCCCTGCCCCCTCACCCCTGTTAGGGCTTTTTATTTGC